TAATATATATATGTATTTATTCTCGATATAGACCACGAACTGAGACGCTCTAACCCTGTCTGGCTGTCTGCATACATAAACGAGTCCATCGTATGATATATGTCAGTTGGGAATATACAGTATTTTACGTGGGCCTCCCCTTGAATAAGTTTCTTTTAATTATTAAAAAAGTTGCTTCTGCCAAAGCAGAGTATCTTTTGGTCGGGCATTCCCAGCTGAGGCACTGCTACTGTATTTACAGATAATTTTGTTATTGTAACAACAAAAGCAAGGTGAATCGTGCATATTTTATTTTAATTTTGAACAATTAAAATAAGCCTCATCTAATGCGCCGTAATGTCTGCCGAGGACAGCATGCGAACAGCAAATCCCGTCGTAAGCTGCACTTGGAAAATGACTGAAAAGTCAACATGATGCGATCTGCGATACGGGCTTAGTTAGAGATACACAGATACAAAGCGATACGATGCAGATACAAAGATACACCTGACTACAAAAGCAGTTAGAATGAAGGAGTGTGCGTGTGTGTGTGAGTGAATGTGTGTGAATCTGTGGTATTTCCGTCATTTAAGCAGCGGCTTAAAGTGTTTCTTCATTAGAATAACTGTCATAAAAATAAACGCATAAAATTTCAAAAATACTCACCGTAAGCGGATCTAATCATTTTCCCATAAAGAGACGCAGCTGCTCAAGCAAAATCTGCTTAAATTTCACCTGAAGCGCTAATTTGGCCAATAAACACACCAAAAATGTTCARAAATAATAATAATAAACCCAATACCAATAACAATAAGCAACAAAAATTCGATGGAAGCCATCAAACGTGCGAAGCGAAGGCGCCATTGAGCCCCCGTATTGGATTAGTGTGACAAAGGCAGTGCCAAAGTCAACAAACAATAAAAAAATGGGATACCGAAGAAAAAGTTAGCTATAGAAACAAATTTCAATAAAATGTATATTTATGCAAGAAAGTAATAAAAGAACACCTATTCCGCTCGAGCTATGACCAAAGCGAATACAGTGAACAGAGATCTCGACATGCCGAATACTGTATACTTTGCATTCAGAGATTGTGCCTATATGAAGTGCATATACATAGAAGCAGACCTGCATGATGTGGATCTTGTGTTAAAATATCTTTTAGATAAGGTTCGATGGATATTATCAGATATTTTATGAAATGAAACTCTTAGAGCTAGTATATAGTTCATAATTTAACAATTTCAGAACTGAATGTAAAGGATACGAATGCGCTGAAATCTTGCAGATTGTTTTTTTTTTTTAATTTCAATTTCAATTTATGATCGAATAGTGATACCCTATAGAGGCGGATGCAAACAGGCCACTAAACAAACATTAAACTATACTCTGCATTCGTAACAAGGAGTGTGAAACATCACTTCTATAAGAATAAATCGGTTGTGAGGGTATCTCATAATCAGCTAGTAAAGCGCCTTCTAAAGAGATCTTTATTTTTGCGTTTCGCTCACGATTCATAAATATTATAGTAAATTGCCATCTGATTAACAGTGATATATGTGGATGACGCCAAAGCGCGTTATGCAAAGCGATTGTATTTGGGTTATTCTGGAAGTGCTGGGCATATATTATGGCTAATTAGAGGATTGACTTGAGATTGGCTTCAAGTTCGTAAATCCTTGAAATAGAACTGTGGTCTTAATGGGAAAATTGAGAAGTCTTTTGGACTGATCAATCGATCTGGTTGCGCAAACTTCCTCCGGGCAGCATCGGCGACAATTGATTTGTGTRTTTCAATTGATTGCTTAACATATTTATTTATTTATATATTTTGTTAAGCAAATTCATAAATTATTACTTTTGGCGCATAATAAAATTTCATTAGCGAACGTCGCCGACGGCGCGTTGGCGTTGTGTTTGTGGCGCGCGCAGACGGCGCCAGGTTCGAATCGTTGTTGTTGCTGTGGGGACTGTGCGCCTCCGCCTCGCTTTTCGGCCTTTGTTTTGGGCAGATCTGTCAACTGTTGCTTCGTAGAGTGTGCAGACGATGGTGGAGAGCGAGGCCTAATAAATCTTGATAACAACGGCAACGGCATCTATTTTGATGGCTTGGATTGGATTGGCCTGGCCACTCGTCGCACTTGCGCTCAATTTGCATATCGGTGACTCGAAAAAAAAGCTTAAGCATTCACACACACACACGCACAATTTTGTTTCTCTCGTTGGGTAATTAATTTTGGACAAGCCATAAATCTTGTATACTTTGCATATATTATTATTAATATTACATATTTCTCTATGAGTTATCCGGCGTGTCAACATTCCAGCAAATCGTACGTATCAAGAGTTTTCCCTCGCTCTACAGCTCGAACGCCCACGCGCCCCGAAGTCGTGGCCTTTTCGCTTTTTTTGCTTTTTTGTTTTCTTTATGACAGCCGCTCGGATTGAGGTCATAGATGGAGATTAACACATTGTCACATTGTTGGAGATTCTTATCAATTGTTACACGATTTTCGTATTATGCTCATGSGCTGCCCATTTCTGAAACGAAATTCCATGGGGTCGCTCTTCACTTTTGCCAGATGACCCCACGACTCGGATGTGATCTGATGTCAGCTTAAAAGCACCAAAATAAATCAACGAAATTTTTATTTAAAATGGACAAGTTTTCTTCTTTAAGGCAGCTGCTGGGCAAGTAGGTGAAGGACCGTCGATGGCTCAAGTAGAAGAAATAGAACAAAGTGTCTGCATTGACGATGACTTCAAGATGACTTGGAAAAGTGAGAATGCTCAACTGAAGAAAATCTATTTATCTAACAGAATAAATATAAACAAATTAAATCAATGAATCGAGTCGAATAGAACATGCTCTGTCTGTCTGCCTGACTGCATTCGAAATGTAATTTAGCTTCAAATGGTTTATGTTTTAAATATTTAGTTAATTGGATCGTCTATTGTATTTCAAGACCTACAGCCACCAAACTTGGTATGTGAATTCTCTTTAAGTATAAATAATATATAGAAGACAGAAACACATTGATCTTTGGCATGTGAATTCTCCTCGAATATAATTGTATTGGAATATCTTGAGCTTAGGTATGTGAATTATCCTTGATTCTAAATTAGGTATAGAGTATTAGATTATAGGAATATATTGATACTCACTTCTTACTCATCGTATGCTCACTCAAGGTAAACAAACCTGTGCTAGTCGCCTTCTCCTCTACGAATTCCAATTCGTAAATCTTCGCTCGTGCAACCCCAATCAGATTTTATTTCCTATCAAGGAATGCTGCCCAGCCCGTGCGAAATGAATACGGCAGGTTTGTATTGTACTACATGTGTTTCATATTTATTTTGAATTCGTATCGTTTCATCGTCATTCGCAAATTGCTCATTATAATTACTATTATGGTTATGATTGGGCTGCAGCGCCGCATTGTTATCATTGCGATTATCGTTAACAACATTAATATTAGCATCATAATAATTAATATTAGGTTGTTGCTGCTGCTGCTGCTGTGCCTCTTCCTGTTGTTGCTGCTGCTGCTGCAATTCTAGAGCCGTAAAGTAGTTCTCTGCTCGCGGGCTGTCATTGCTGTTGCTGTCGTTGTTGCTATGGCTATCGTCGCTTATATTATGCTCAACAATATGATTGCGATTGGGCGCAACAACAGTTGCTGCTGCAACAGTTGGTGCAGCTGCGCTGCTGCCGCTGCCGCTGCTGCTGCCGCTGCTGCTGCTGCTGTCAATTCGATCGTTTATCAACTGCTTAAGATTATTGTCAATGGTATCATTGAATTTGAATTGAAGAACGCCCCCCTCACTACGGCTATGGCTACTGCTATGGCTACGGCTATGGCTATGGCTATGGCTATGGCTATGGCTATTTGGACTATAGAACTTAGTGCTAATCTCTAAACTACTAGAATCAGTCGTGCTACTTTTAGTATTCATATTATAATGCTCGTTTCTGTACAAGTAGTTGTAGTTTTTTGGCAAGGCAGGTATTGCATTATTAACATTAGGGCTATTACTATTTAAATTTAGTTCTACGTTTAGTTTATGTTTCAGTATTAAGTTTAAGTTGCTATTAACATAGGCTTTTGAGTATTCATTTTGTTGTTGTTGCTGTTGCTGCTGCACACCCTGTGTCTGTTGCTGCTGTTGCTGCTGCTGCTGCTGCTGCTGGGAAGACGTCTCCACCAGCTGCATGTCCATGTCAGCTGCATTGCTGCCAGCGCTAGCCGCTGCTGCTGCTGCTGCGCGTTTTCGGCGGCCGCGCTTCCGACGACTCGCCGCCAGCATGGCGAACAGGTTGAGCGCCGAAGGCGCCAGCGAAGCAGTCGCTGTGAGCGCTGTTGAGGCCGCAGTCGCTGTGTAGGAGGAGGATGAGGAGGACGAGGCCGTGGGCAAGGGCAACTGTTGCTTGCGCTGCTCACGCTGCTGCTGCTGCTCGAGCTGCTGCTGCTGCTGCCGTCGCTGCATGCGCCGGCGTCGTCGACGCTCCAACAGCGTTGCATTGTTGTGATGATGACGCACCATCAGGTTCTTCGGCTGTGGCTTGACCATGGCGCCGACGGCTTTTTGTTGCTGCCGCTGCCGTTGCCGCTGCCTGTGCATCTGCTGCTGGCGCTGGCGATGCTGCAGGCGTCGCTGGTGTTGCTGGTTGCGTTTGATGATCTTCTGCTCGCGCAGCGCATCCTCATTCGCTTTGTTGTTGTTGTTGTTGTGGGACTTACGACTATGCTTGTTGTTGTAATTACTATTGCTATTGTTTTTGTTATTGTTGTTGTTGTGGTTAGAAGAACTATCGCTATTAATACTTGTGTTTGCTCTTGTTGTTGTTGTTGCTGTTGCTGTTGCTGGCTGCATGCGATGCAGTGGCTTGCCACGTGCGCGTTTCGTTACAGCCACTGGTCTCGGCGTTGTTGTTGTTGTTGTTGTTGTTGTTGTTGTTGTTGTTGTTGTCGTCGTCGTTGTCGTCGTCGTTGTTGTGGACGATGTTGTTGCCACCTTGCTTCGCCAATTGGCCAGCTTACTGTGAAAATCTTCAGCCTTCACGCGATTGAAGAGGAAGCGGGCGCGTCGATTGAAACTCTGCATTCCCTTAGGCCCAATCGGACGAAAGTTCGATTTGATGCCCACGCGCAGCACCGGGTTGTAGGCATTTGTATACTGATAATATCCCCGTTCCATTGACTCTCTGAAGTGGCAATCGTTTGTGGCGTTTCTCTGAGAAGAGGCAAGCAAATTATGAAGAAGAAAGTTATAAATGAAGCCAAGTAAGTGGGCAGCTGCATTGAATATGCAGCAGAAAAGAACAAGTTACTCCTAGATCAAAAAATATTTCATAAATTATTCTCCATTTTTGGTTTATTGTTTTATTTTTATTTTTTTACTTTTTCATTAATAAAAGATTTATATTATTACAAAAAATTGATTATGATTTTATATCGAAAACTCTATTTATAAATATTTTACCAAATCCATAAAATATTTAATAAATTAATTTAAAAATATCTACTTTTATTTATTTCTTAAGATATTGATATTATATCGGAAGATTTATAATTATTTCATATCGAAAATTCTTCGGTATCTTGTCTAAACAAATGGAAATCCCACTGCTTACCTTTCCAACAAGTTTGCCTTGGGCAAAGCATAAATAGTAGTCCACATCCTTGGCATAGATGGTGATTTTGAAATCCTCGCTGAGTACATCGCCAACACTGTTCATTGTTAGGGATTCTGCAATGGGCATTATCGAGAGAAGGAATCAATTTTAATTAATTATAAACAAACAAAGTTTTCTCTCTCTGCTAGTTAAGTAAATATTTAATGCTAGTTGAGCCAGCTTATGTGAGTGGAAGGGGCGATCGGGGGTGGGGGATAGCAATCCACACAAACACACACACACACACACACACATATATACACTTCACTGGCCAGATAACCCAATTAAAATTGAAAGGTTTTCGATAAAGTTATGAAAGGTTTGATTAGGCTGCCTGGGGGCAGCGGCGCTACTAACGATAGAAACAGAGTCAAACATTTAATGAAATTAAGTGAGCGTAGATTTGACAGCGGCCCTCTGCCTGCACTGCAGAGAGTCGGAGCTCTACGCCCCGACCTCACACCATTCTCAGTCGTATAATCGTCAATTACCGAGCTGAACTGAGCTCTTATCAAGCTGCGCCAATCATGAGGCCCACGATAATTTGTGAGAGCCTCGTTGAGCGCCCAGAAAGGTTCTGCCTATGACCCTGGTTTTTGGTTTGGCAGATGAATAACCCTGAAACCCATTCAGCATCTATCTTCACACGTCGATTGAGTCGGACCTTCGCGCTAGCAATGCATCAGAGAGGTAAGCTTGAATCGATCAATTAGCTAAGCTCTTTCGGCCTGAGTCCAAGTATTCCCTTCAAATCAACCGAAGCACAAGAACAACAACAGCAATGCGTAGCACTTGCTCCTACAATTCTATATGAGATAAGATAAAATACCAAACTGACAAAATTTTTCGTTTAATTTATACCGAGACTGACGCCCAAGCACCTCTCTAGTGTATCTATCTCACTCTCACTCGCGCACTCTGCCTCTCTCTCCCTCGCTCTTTTGCTTGACCATCCACTCTGGCGAATTTCACGTGCGAAGAATTCCAGACTATTATTTATGCGACCTGAACTTTGTACTGCTCAAGTGGCTAGCGATTGCTGAGGTGCGTGACGCAATCTAAAGAAATTTCACAATGCTCGTCGAAAGCGGTCGAAATCGATATGATCTGTTCAAGTTATTCGGTTACTACTGTACTATATATGTATATGATACATCTCAATGTTTCATCAGGTATAGTTGTACTATATACTGAGTCGTTAACTTCTCACGCTTATTGCTTGGGACTGCTGGGGCTGTCGCTCTCGCGTAGATATCAAGCCATTTGTGAATGCGGAGCTCTGCTCCTGAACTTCACCCACTGAGGCGGCCTGATCGTGGGGCAAATAAAAAACAACAAGAAGAAAATTAGTGGGAGGAAGGGGGCTGGCTCCAGAGGTAAGAGTGCCGCATGAATTCAAATAAATTGCAAGAAGAAGAGGCAGACAATGAAGACGAAAAAGCAGAAGGCGGCGGCTGTCTTGAAACCGCAATCGTAGCGCCCATGGCGGACCACATAACATCAATCAAATATTAAATTACCAATAATTTAATTAAGCCCGCAATATGCACAGACAGCGCCAGAGTTCAAAATAAATGCCAATTCAATTTAAAAGCCACTCGAGCAGCTCTCGCGATACGCGCGCGCGCCCCCCTCAAACAATGGGAATCGATGGGCGCCGAAACAAACCATAAATCATAGATATATACACAATATATATGTTTATCACATGCAGAGAGTGCGAGAGTGATATCAGCTATAGCTGTACTTACGTGCCAGCGATATATCCTCGGCCGTTACCCAGCCGTGCGCATTGATATGCAGCGCCCGATTGTTGTCGGTCTTCAGGGTTAGAATGTATTCCGTTTTCTTTGCACATGTTGTAGATACAAGAGCCAGCATTACCTGCAAGGGAAAAGAGTTGCGAATAGAGTATATGGTGTATGGTATATGGTATATGGCACATGGCTATATGCCATATAGAACAGCATAAGCCCCAAAAACTGCAGCCTTAATCCCGCCCATAAATTTCAATTAAATACGCTCAACTTTTAATGTGGACCCGGCCAAGAGCAACTGCACCTGAGTCGGAGCCGGAGCCGGCAACTGTGCACACCTGTGCCACAAAATGCCTTTGCCATTAAAGCAGCTCTCGGCAAATTGCCTTTTTTCGCATGGGACATCAGCTAATCCTGCACATTGTAGCCCCAACTCTGCTGAGGGTCGCGAATGAGTGTGCTCGAATCGAGGTTGGAGTGTGAGAACCACAGCCTCAAGGAGTGAAGCCTCTGCACATTCAACAGCTACTCAACGGTCAACACTCGATATGAATTCTTGATCGTGTCATTGCTTTTCATTCAGTCTATTCCAAATGCAAATATATTTTCAATTATATATATAAATATATGTAGAGCTGAATTCTGATATAATTGATGTGCAATCGGAGTCAGGCAGCAGCAAGGCATCTGATGGGTCCGTCAAATATGAAAAGCTCTGTATACCCATCATGTGCATCATCATCATTAAGTTCGCTCGAGATATATGTGAGCATCTGCAGACCAACCCAAAGAGGAAATTAAAGTTCATATCAACAGATAATCGAAAGTAAAAAGCAAAGCATCAATCAAATCAAAGTTACGCAAGCGACGCGACGCTTCAATCAAGCATTTAGCTGCTGTTGCCAACTGCCTTGCTTTGGCCGACACGTGTCTGGGCCATGTCTGCCTGGCACTGGCATGTTTCATARATGTATTTATTTATTTATTTTTTCACATTGCCCAACTCTTAAAGCATTTGCATAAGCGACTCCTGTGCGAGGGAGGAAGTACGTTGCGAAAAGCCGTTGAGTTCGCAATTTGCATGGAACCCAAAAAAAGAAAAATATGCGCCGTCAGCAAAACAAGCTGTACTACAAAATGAATATGTAAAATTGATATGTTCTAGTATGGCAAGAGAAGCAGAAGGAGAAAGAAAGAGAGAGAGATAGTGCTGAGCAGAGAGAGAGAGAGAGAGAGAGAGAAAGAACGATAGGGAGGGGGGGCTTGCCACACGGCACTATAGCTCCGATTGCAAGCTAATAATGACAGTTATTTTTGTCGAATGGCTAAAAATATGTGCGTGTATCTAAATCGGGGGCTTACTGGAAGACTTAGGCACATAAGTGATTGCAAACAATTAGCGGAAAACAGAAAACAATGTGTGAATGCGCACTGCGCAACGCGAAACAAATTGACCCAACTCTAAGGAGCCCCCTCTAAAATCGACGCCCCTGGCAAATGCCACTTGGCACTTGACGAAATTCGTGAACTTTACTTCTCAGCTGCTCGTCAGATGTTTCATCATACTTCAAGTTGACACCAAATCAAACAGTGTCAGTTTATTTCTCCTATGCCCCTCTGCTCCGCCCCTCATGGAGGCCTTCTGTTTGTACTACTCATAAAAACCGAATTGTTTGGTTTAGCTTTCGGAGTTTTCAAACTGTTTTTGTGCTGACTGCCTTAATGATGTGCGACCTTTTCCATAGTTCAATGACGTTTTGGCGTGCGTGTGCGTGTGTAATAATAATAATAATTATTATTTTTTTATTTTATTACTATGTTGCTTGGCTCAAGTGGCTGTGCAACAGCGCCCAGCCAGACCCTGAGCAGATCCGAGCAGACGTAGCCACTCCAATGTACACACCACGGGCTGACCGGCTCAGATATCAGAGACCCCCCTACTCCCCTGCTGCCCTGCTGCCCTGCCGCCCTGCCGCCCCACCACTGACGCCGCACCCTTGCTCCACACTCCACTTCACTTGATTACACACTCGATCTTGTTATAATAATCAAACGGAAAGAAATACTACACACATATTGATACATATATATAAATATGAGTTTTTTTACGATAATTATTTCGAGTGCTGAAAAACAATTGTCATAACAAATTTTATTATCTTCTTCATTTCTCGTTTTCGTTTTCGTTTTCATTTTTTGCTTTTAAAAACTCGATAGATCTACCAGATATATATAGTTAACAGTCTGTTAACAGTCTGTCAATACACTGTCAAAAAAAAGCCCCAAAGCTATTTTCTAATTTTTTCCATTTGAATATTCATAATTATTAGAAACATTTTTACACCGTATCGTATCGTAAATCAATCGTCGCAATCTGATCTTTAATAAAATAATACGTACACGCCCATTATCAAGTGAGTCGGAGATAAAGTGCGAATGTGCGAAGCTATTTGGTATTTAATTAAGTACAAGCACAATGGGAAACTATTGGGGAATTCAGTCACGCTATGAGATACCCTTTCAACTAAGTTGAGCTATCTCGCAGACAATGTACGACCTCAGTTTAACAGAGAATGCTGATGTGCCGTTAATCGGGCAATACTGTTATGTAAACTGTTATACATAATGCTATTTCAGTAGCTTTACTTACCATCAGTATAAAAATAATTCTGACATTGAGCAGCATGAACTGTAGTAACCTGTAATACACAGAGAAACAGATGATGAATATCATTTAGAGAGGATAACATGCGACTTACGATATCTACTAAAAATAAAGTGTTATATGCCAAAAGGAATTAGCATAAATCATACAGATTATTAATGATTATTATTTGTTTTATTGATTTGTTTTGTTTTCTGTTGTTGTTTTCATCTCGACGAGTACAACTTCCGTCTCGGGGCTGGGATGGGATGGGGAAGCTGAAAACAGCAATTAAGTCATTTCATTTGATTGCCTGATCGTGAGCTCTTTAAACAAAAGCGTCAATATTAGTGAAGGCTCAAAAGATGAACTACTAGCTTTGAGTAGAGTACACGAGTAGTATTCATTTGAGTAGCATTCATAAGTAGTATTCATGAATACAAGTACTGCTCTGGCTCAATGTCAATGGTTATGGAAAAAGCCAAGAAAACGTTTCAGATTTTGTTTTCTTTTTTGTTCATTTCTGTTTTTGTTTTTGTCGTGCCTATCGATTGGATCATATATGGTATGGTATATATACCATACTTATATTTTTAGTGCATATATTTTGTTTCAGGCGTCGCTGACTAATCCCCTTTAGCGGCAGCAGCGGTAGAAGCAGAGGCAAAAGGTCATTGATTTCAGCTTAGAGAGCTGCCCAGAGCCAAAGAGCCATAGCTCGAGAGGGTAGTTTCTTTAGACGAAGGTCCCTTGTCCTCGGCTCTTGGGCTTGTTCTTATTCTTGTTCATTTTTGTATTATTTGCCTCTTTTACTTTTTGCTGCCGCTGCCKCTGCCTCTGCTGCTGCTGCTGCCGCTGTCGCTGCTGCTTTTGAAAAGTGAAAATCGCGCACAAGCCACAATGGAAACAAAACCGACTTGAAAGTGCACGAGAAATCAATAGAAGGGACCATCGAATAACCTGAGTGAGCTACAAGCCACAGACCAAAGCCAAGTCCCGGCCAGAGGCAAGAGGCAAGAGGCCAATGCCATGTGCAAATTACTGAGCCCAATTCCGAAGGCGCTTTGCGCTCACAGTAGGCAGTCCCCAAATAAACTATATAGAGTATGTATATATATGTGCACGTCTGTATGTATGTGTAGCTCGGCATTTGGTTGTACGCGTGACTCTTGTGCGATTTTTATCATCATTTTTCAATTTCACAGCAGACAATAAAAAAGTTCAATTCAAATAAACCAAGCAAATGCCATCGCATCGCCAATATCTGCTCAAACATTCTCGCATCGATGAGGCTGTTTTGGTGTTCTGGTTCCAGGTCTTGATTCGCAAAGCCAAGAAGCAATTAAACGAGTTCTGTTTATCAATTATGTTCGTTTATTCTTTTTTTATACCCTGAACCCATTTTCAATGGGAAATCAGGGTATAATGGTTTTGTTGAAATGTATGTAACAGGGAGAAGGAGGCGTGGCAGACCCCACAAAGTATATATATTCTTGATCAGGGTGACGAGCTGAGTTGATTTGGCCCTGTCCGTCTGTCTGTCCGTCTGTCCGTCTGTCCGTCTGTCCGTCTGTCCGTNCTTTCTTACTTGTTTTTCTTGTGCATTTTTTTTTTTTTTTTTTTTTTTTGTATTGTTTTATTTTATTTTTGCCTTGGTTTAGTTTTTGTTTAGCTTGCATTTTTTTTTTTTTTGATTTAGCCAGCTCACATTTCAATGAACTGCTGCTGACGAAGGAAATTCAATAATGAGCGATATACAAAACGAACTTGGCTTTGATTCTAAATTTTGTAAATCTAATATGATGAGTATAGTCTATACCTAATATAATAATTGACGAGACTTGAAATATATTTCAATGGAAATCCTGATTCATGTTGATCTGCTATAAGGAGCTTTACTTCGAGACTTTCAATTGAAGATTGTAAGCACAGCTCTTTTGTTTTTCTATCGAGCTAGCAAGACGTCGAGCCAACATCAGCTCATGTTCAGCTAACTGTTTAGCTTATCAACCCTAGCGCCGCAATTCCTGGCGAATTGAGACCGAAATGGAACCCCGAGGCCAGTTTCTAACACACAAAAGCTCAGTTAATGCCGACATGTGACCCGTAGCTGAGGCACAGTTGTTGTTGTTGTTGCTGTTGTTGTACTCTACGCATATTCTATTCTTCTCCTTCCTCTTCTTCGTCTACTTCATTGTTGACTGTCTCTACTATGCCACATTTCTCATGTATGTAACTTGATATTGGCTCCTTCTATGACCGTCTGTGCTTTACTTTTGTTTCCCCTTACAATGCGGCTCATAATTACCTTTTTGGTATGCAGACAGAAGCGCACTGCAGACGCCCAAATGAACTTGAGTAAAGTTTTTCGTACGCTTCGGATCTTCGGAGCCCTTTTCAGCTACCGTCAGCTCAACTCACAGATTGTGTCTGACGCAATAGACGACACGACGCGATGCGACGTTCCCAATGCCATGCGCCATGCATATTGAATAGTTTTTATTGCAGTCTGTATTTTCCTTTCTATTTGTTTGCCTATGAGAGGTGGAGGGGTCTTTCACTTGCGGTGCGAGCATATTTTAGCCATTTTATTGAAGCTGTTGCTGCAATTGAGGAATTCGGTTTTGGGCCAAGACGTGCCATGCACAGGACCACACAAAAAGCTGCTCAACAGCGACTTCCAGTCGACGCGATGCAACGAGCTTTCGCACAGGTAGGTCGCAGCTGAGGAGCAGCTTGTAGCTGGCGGGCAGGCCGAGATAAGCTTTTAAAAGCTCACCAATACAGATCCACTGCATTTGAAATCTAGATTCGAGTGAGTTAGTGTGGCACGTTCCTTAGAGCTGGGCATACTTGAGCGACGTACGTCAGAGGCTATCTAATCGTAGCACCAACTTATTGCCAGCCGTAATTAGTTCGCAAAATGTAAATCAAATATGACAGTGCCAAAAATGCCAAGAGTCAATTGTGCAGGCAGGCAAGGCGAAAGCAAAAGAGAACTGAAACAGATCGCCAGATTAAATACTAAGCGCAACTTGTCAACTCGCGCCACTTATTTCAAATCTGATTTAAATAGTTGCTTATTTAATTTTTTTTCTTGTTTCGTTTTTTTTGACTTTAGCTACGCTCGTCAAACGTCAAAATGCTGTTTACTTGTCGAAATTGAAATTGATTTGATTTTTTGCCCGTGATTTGCACGTTTTGCCCCTTTGGGTGTGAACTTGTTGCTTTTGGCTAATCGCCCCAGCCACGACAGCTCAGCGAACCAGTTACTGTGGCATGCAAAGAATTTGTGCTCGATTAGATTAGGCCACGAGTAGATGACCGACTGTGTTGTGGGTCAAGATCCGTGATAAGCGTGCTGGCTATCAACTGTGATAAGGCCTGTGAGGACTATTTGCCAGGACTACTCTGCATGAGTAGTCAGAGTAGACTGTCTGACTGTCTGATTGCTGCCACGTGCTGTCTCTAGCTCTCTCTCTCTCTCTCTATCTTTCTCTCTCTCTATCTTTCTGTCTGTTCAGCTGTCTCATCAATCATGAAATCGCTTAATAACAATTACAGTAGCAACATCGTTTTCCTCTGTTCCCTCTGCCACGAGTCTTTTTTTTGTGGCCAAGTGTGAAATTTCCTGCTGTCAATTGTGCGTATAACGATGACGATGATGGTCACCCTAATGCAATGATACCCCCGCTGCAGCAGAGCCTCCTACCCCTGCTATATGCTTTTTGCCATACTGCACTTAATGCAATTTTCGCTTACTTTTCTTTTAGGGGTTGCTGCTGCCACGTAACTTTATGTTATTTAATGCCCTTGCAACATCCACCTTGCGCTTTTTTAGTCCTCCTCAGTCAACCCCAACCCAGATCCTGTTACCTATGTCCTGCTTCACCCTCTGCCCCTGTCCCTACCCCTGACCTGCCTCTGCCCTCTGCCATTGCAACTCTTGCCTTGTTCTTGTTCCTGGTTGTTGCTTGTTCCCTTCCATGTTGCTGTTGTTGCTGCGGCTGCTGCTGTTGCTGTTGCTGTTGTTGCTGCTGTGTATGTTAGGGGCGTGCGCTTTAATGAAGTTCCAAAGGGAAACATTTTTCTGGGTTTACTGACTTTGACAGTTGGCAGCTTGTGGATTTTTTGTATGCTCTTTGTTCTTTTGCCTATGCAGGAGGCGGACGGGCGGGCGAGCAAGTCGTGTGTGTTATATGAAAATATTTATACAATTTCCATGTAGCTGGGAAGACTCTATTAAAAATGTTGGAAAACTAAAAGTTGAAGAAAAACCCATAGACTTGTATAGGTCTTTAATTTAGTCGAAAATAAACTGTGCCTTAGCTATCATTTAATTATCGGCATAAGCCCGTAGTTCACGACGCCCTTATTTTAGATTTCATTTTGTATTCATTCTAACCTCAAATAAATATAAAATATACACCAATTTATCAATTTTATTTTTCTAATGGTTTCTATTATAACTTTTGTGCAAACAACTATTTAAAGTCTCTCAATTTGATTGATGTTCTGAATCCATTATTTCTTTTAAGTTAGCATACTTTTTGCATAACTTCTAGAACAGACTCGAACGCTCCCTTATTATCGAGATTTTTCGATTATTCATATGCATCGGACTTGAACTTGCAGGAACAACAACGCCCCACATATAGAATCGCAATTCAAGTTGCCTACAAACAACAACAAACAACAACAACAGTCGAGTCAGAAGTTCAGTGTACTGCAGAGATAAGCTAATGCTGTTGCTCGTTGCAGAAGAGCATCTATGTATCTATCCATCAAGATGCGATAGATGCGGTGCTGATGGAGTAGGTGCTACAGGGAGTGTGGCTGATGGAGGATGGAAATTGGCTGTGCTTAAGCTGGTGTCGTGCCGGTACACAAATCTGGGCTCATTAGCGGTACCCCTTCTGGAATGTAGCTCGGTCTGTTGCTGCATAATTCTCAAATAGGCGTGAAAATAACACAGCGACAATTGCCGCTGGAGTGAGAGTGAGAGGGGTGAGAAGGAGAGAGCGAGAGCCAGAGCGAGAACGAGAGAGAGAGAGA